CTTGGATTTTCTAAATCAACCCATATCAGATACTGAGATTGTAGCCGCATTTAAAGCACTGCCGAAGGGGAAGTCGGCAGGGGCAGATGGGTTTGCTGCAGAATACTATAAAGAATTTCAGGAAATATTATTACCCCATATTAAGGTGTTCTTGCAAGCGGTACAAAATACTACTTTTTCCCTCAGATGCTTAAAGCAATTATTGTCTCCTTGCCTAAACCGGGGAAATCCCCAGACTGCCCCCAAAATTTCCGTCCAATATCCTTACTTAATACGGATCTTAAGATTTATGGTAAAATTTTAGCTAGCAGATTAACTGTAACTCCTTTTCTTATCTATTCAGATCAAGTAGGGTTTGTTAAAGGTAGGCAAGCAGTGGATGGCACGCGCAGAGTACTTAATCTATTGCGGATTACTGAATTGCGTAAATCGCAAACTGTTTTCCTGGCACTGGATGCTGAAAAGGCATTCGATAGAGTTCATTGGCAGTATCTCGACTCCACTCTTTGCAATTTTGGTATTCATGGCTGTATCAAATCAGCCATTTCGGCATTATATACGGTGCCCTCCACACAAGTTTTTACATCCAATGCTTTGTCAGACCCCTTTCTTATCACAAATGGAACCAGACAGGGATGTCCCCTTTCCCCTATTATTTTTTTCTCTAATGATGGAACCCTTAGCGACTTAAATTAGAGCGAATCCCTTGATCTCGGGTATACGCACTGCAAACGTTTCTCACAAAATTGGCCTCTTCACAGATGACATGATACTTAGCATAACGGATCCATTGACTTCCTTAACAGCAGTCTCCTCTACATTCCAAATGTTTGGCGACATTTCCTACTACAAACTCAATGTTACTAAATCATGTGCACTCCCTATAAATATACCAAAAGCGATGTTACACTGCCTTAAAAATAAGTTTTTGTATAGTTGGTCCACAGCACGTCTGGAATATCTGGGTATCCGGGTGTCTTCTCCTTCTTCTAGTATGTTCAGGGCTAATTATGAGGAACTATACAAAGTGATCTTCACAGATCTATTGGCAAACGTGAGCTTTCGTGGTTGGGCAGAATTGCGGCTTTTAAGATGTTGATCCTGCCTAAACTTCTATATTATTTTAGAACGATCCCAATACTCATTCCTCTTTCTTACTTTAGTAAACTAGATATTGTATTGAGAAAATGTGCCCAGAGTCCCGTTTTCGACTCTCATTAAGCAAAAATCTAGGGGGGGTGTAGGTCTCCCGATTACACATTCCTACTATCATGCTGCACTACTAGATCAACTCCAGTACTGGTTGACCCCATCAGATAAGTTATGGGTGCAAATAGAGAAAAGTGTACGGTTCCAGCCGGTGATCTTCAGGCTCTACTAATTGTGAAAATTATCTTCTCGAAATTAATTCATACCTACCTTCCTTCTGTCTCTGTATCACTGAGTGCATGGGTAATAGGATTATTTAAATCTACTCCGTCTGCCCCAAAGGTTAGGCTAGACATACCGTTGACAACCTACGAACACCTTATTCCCAATCTTAATGTAAAATCCCTAAGAGATGCGGGCTATTTCAAGTTTACCGACATCCATGCTTCTCAAGTGAGGGGTAATATATACCTATTTCTTCAGATTGGGGCCTGCAGGGGCACCAATTATAAATCGGATGTAGAGGTGGATGCTAAGATCTGGCATTCGTTATCGAACCCTGTTGGGCTAAAAAAGGGCATTTCATGGTTTTATAGATTTTTGCAGTATGATTCTGACAATTCTGTGATAGCATGCAAGTGGGAAAGGGAGCTGGGAGAACCTTTACTCAGGAATAGTAGCAAGCAGCTTGGTCTTGCAATATCAGCCTTTCAAAGTGTACAAACCACTGGGATAGCGCTCTTAAGATTCTGTACCGCAGCTATCTCACCCCATATAAAATTGCAAAAATCTACCCTGATGCATCACCTTTCTGTTGGAGGGATTTTGGTGAGGTTGGACACTTGCTGCACGTTTTGTGGGAATGTGCAAACATATGGGAATTTTGGAGTGATGTTTTTGCTTTAATCTCTCGGGTGTCAGGAGTACAGACAAATCCAAATCCTCATCTAGCATTGCTAAATATTACACTGAATTTATTTTCTGTTCAATTTCGAACAATTATTACCCACATTCTCATGGCTGCTTGGCTAACTATTGCTAAAGCATGGAAATCTTCTACATCCCTTCCTCTTCTGAAGGTGATTTCTAGAGTACACTCCCATTATCTGTATGAGAGAGCCTATGCACTTTCAAATCACACTATACGGGTATGTGAAGTTAAATGGCAACATTGGAACACTTTATTCAAAATCTCTGATCTATAAGAGTTGGAGACCGAAGGGCAAGGATGTTGGAGTTTTGTTGAACTCTGTTGGATATGTTGAATCTCTCTACTTTTCTTTAGATTTTTTCCTTTCTTTCATTCTTTTTTCCTGTTTTTTTATTGTTTTTCTTTTTTGTTTCATTGTTGTATTCTATTCAACTGTATTTGCAATGGATACAATTTTTTGTCCCATATGTATCACATGTGCCGGCTTGAATAATGAAGTGTGCACTGCTATGTTCTGGTTTATGCATCAGATAACGTTCTGTAAATGTTGAATGTACTCTGTATAATTCGGGCAATGTGTGATGTTCCTATGGCTACTGTTACAGCCGACTACTTTTTTTTTTTTTTTTTTTTTATTCCTGTTATTGACTTGAAAAATATTAATAAAAACGAGTTGAAAGAAAGATTCTGGACTGACATAGCCAACCCTAGCTACATACTTGCATAGAAGAAAAAATGTAGTCTCGTTCTTTGCTCCTGATCATGCACAGTTTTTTCTATTTGAGCATTTCCATATGATTACTGTACACGTTGAATGAAAATCGCACTCCTATATGATAAAAAATGTTCTAGCTTGCACCTTAGGTATTTTGTGTCCGAACAGTCGGAATCAACTGTCGAAAGCACTATACTAACAGATAGTAAACCGATTGTTCCTCGTATAAAATTTTTCACATGATTTTCTTATCGTGTGTACTGGCCTTAAATCTACTTCCCCCAGCTGCAGGTGCTTTTGGGTTGAGCTTCCAAGATGAATCCTGTTGAGTCATTCAGGTTTTGTTCTGATCTTTGGTTCAGGTAACCAGTTCTTGGTAAGTCTTTTTAAGATTGGTTTGTTCCCCTTCCTGTCAAGACTCACTTCGCTGGTTATGTGAGTATCGCTCTTTCTGACATGAGCATCAGGTGCCGGTTTTGTGGTGTTCAATCACCCGGTCTTCTGTTCTACCAATTGGAGGTGTAGCCTCATTTAATTCCAGGTTTAGGCATAGGTCTTGCAGGTGGCTCCTTGAGCTGCAGGCTGTCCTCAGTTTTCTGTTTTTCTTGGGCCTGTAAGCGTTTGATAGTTGCCCATCATTCAGTTGTACTGCTTTCAGACATCCCAACAGTGAAATACTGTGTATAATTAAAATACTGTTTATTAATACTTGTGTTGGGCTGCAGAAAAATGTGTAACATAGAATACTGATAAAAGCAAAGTCTTGCTGCCATATATGAGAAGACTAGGAATGTCCCAATAAAAATATATAGAAACAAAACATATAGCACAGACACAATGACTATTAATAAATAGATATGCTGTGGAACTCAGAAGTATTGGAAATTCAGCAATGACTCTTGACTTCGAGTCAGCCCGGGTCGGTAATGAGAGAAGCTGGAGCTTATATTCTTGTAGATGACAAGGGCACAGCTGGGGATTCTAGATAATGTGTTCTGGAGGCCAACCTCTTTTTGTCAAGCCTAGTATGTGTCCAGGATAGTAGTTACTAGATATGCTCAGTGGTGGCAGCAGGAGGGGGAGCCGCAGATTGAAATGATTGTAAACCTTTTTTTTTTTTCCTTCAAATAAACATGTCATACTTACCTGTTCTGTACAGTGGTTTTGCATAGAGCAGCCCCAATCCTCTTCTTCTGGGGTTAACTGCCAGTGCTGCTGGCTCTGCCTCTTTTTGGTAAGCTGCTTCCTATGAGGTCCCTCATACAGGCTCGATCTCAAGTTGCGTTATCCAAGTCTATAGACACAGCGCAGATCAGCCCTGCCCCCCACTCCCACATCACAGGATTTGATTGACAGTAGCAGGAGCCAATGGCTCCTGCTGTTATTAATCTGCCCTGCAAGGAGGTAGATTGGGGGGAGGGTCTCGGCTCTGGCGACGGTATGTAAATGGAGAAAAAATTTTTTTTTTAATTTTTTTGAACTTTATTACAGTAATGATCACTGTATATAAGCAATTGTTTTTATGCATGGCGTCCATTCATACACCATCGTGTACTATTGTGATAACTGTGATTGGCAACAGCGATCACATAGTACATGCCAGCTGTGATTGGCCTCTGTACCATGTGATCATTGTAACCAATCACAGAGATCACAATAGTACACATAATGGCTATGAATAAAAACCGTTGACAGCTGACATGTGATTGGTCACAGTCATTACATGGAACAAGGGCCACCGGTCACTCTGATACGTGCCCCTGATACGTGCCCCGCTGAGGCACACGAGTGAGAGGATATCATATGACTTCCTCCCGGAATGACAGTGCTCCTGATCGGCCAGTTTTTTTAAAATAGACCAGGCAGGAGGTGGTTAATAAACAAATGTTTTTGGTCATGCAAGAAAATAAGATTTTCCATATCTATAATCCATTCCAGTACCTATGGAGTGTGGAACAATTCAGGGTCTCCCAAGGATTCCATTAGAACAATTTTTCAGGAGTATATCTTCTCTTAGGGGTGGTCTTTAGCAAATGTTCAAGTCAATATGCACTTTATAATGTGAATGCAAAATTGGACCATCAGCAAAAGGGTAAACACCAGCATAGGGCAACATGATTTGTAAAATTCTACTTTATACTGGCAAATGATTATAAATGCATTTGATAGTAAGTACTTTGTCTCAATGGAATTTTTTTCTTGCAGGAAATATTGTTTGGATCTGAGCCTCAACTTCCATATCTGAGATACACCCCGACTGGTGGAAAAGGTGAGATGTTGCTTGTTTATTGCTAAGGTTTATGATACAGTTAATAATCTACTAGGACAAATTCCAGAATTTAGACCACCTCTTGAAAAAAATGTGTGCAATTTAAATAATAATATGTTTTAGGGTACATTCACAGTAGCCGCTGTATCGCAACATACAGGATGGTGTGTGTTGCGGTGGAGGCAGTGCTGATGCATCCACACCAGCACATCATACTGTTCACATTTTTTTTCAAATTAACTTTATTGAAATGTCAGTGCATGCAGTAACTGCGCTGTGCTGGAAAAAAAATACTGCACGTGGTACTTTTTTTCATATATATGCAAACACAAACTGGTGTAACCTGGTGTAATTTTTTTCAGCCAGCATTCGGCTTTCCAGTAAAAGTGATCCAAGCAGCTTTGAAGTCGCCCAATCAGTTTTACAGCACTTGAAAGGGAGTGTAAGCATTGGCCATGCACAAAGGAATGGAGGAACATTTGTTCCTGAACTCCTCTGTGATGAAGGGGGTAACTTGGGACCGCTGTAAGCAGAAGGCTGTGCATCCATTCATGATTTCCTTTTGCATGAATGAAGCAATAAGGATTTTTTCTGGTTCCAGAGCTGTGGTTTCCTGGCTGGTACAGCCAGAGAAGCATCTGATCAAACTGATCTGTGTTTGATCAGATGCTTTAAAGGGCAGGGGAGATATCAGGATGATGGCTCCATTAGAGCACCTGACACTGCCCAAAACAATCACAAGGGGCTTGTTCACTCCTTGTAATAATATTTCAGTAAGTTAAATGAAAAAAAAATACATAAATTAAAAAAAGTGTAAAAAAAAAAAAAAATATATAAACAAACTTGGGGTTAAAAAAAAGTTTTAACTTTCAAAAGAAATATATAAATAAAAATGATAATATTAATAGCACTAATGCCCCTCTTTACCCCCGTACTTGTACGCAAATGCAAACATTTATGTAGGTCCAGCATGCAAATAAATGTGATTGTGCCACACGAGAGGTATTGCCATGAACGTCAGTGTAAGAGCAATAATTATAGCACCATAACTTGCGTTTTAACTCCAAACTGACAACCTATACAGGCTTTTAAAGCTTCGCCTATGGACAATTTTAGGTACCATATTTTGTTACTATTTCACAGACGTGCACAGCTGTATATCTTGAAATATTTGGTATCTTTTTTTACTCGACACAACATATTTCATATCTTACCAAAACATTTGCGTATTCTATTGCGTTTCTGTGCATTAAAATTCATTTGTGTATATTTTTATAGTGTATTTTTTCCTGAAAATTTGCATTTGATAACTGACTGCGAAATTGTGTGACAAGAAATTGCAACAGCCACAATGTTATTCTCCAGGCCCTCTGCTTTCGGAAACTTTACAATGTTTGGGGGGTTCTAAGAAATTTTCTAGCGAAAAAATTATGATTTTAACATGTATGTGGAAAAAATGTTTCAAAAATGCCCCAGTGGGCAAGTGCCTAGAGCATGGTTATAGTACTGCGATCTTTACAGATTCTCAGGATAAAGACCAGCTGCTTTGGGATCCTAGTGTTCTCCCGGAAAGAGACGTTGAGAACTACCTAATGAGTGCAGCAAAGTATCAGTTTGGGACTGGTGAAGCGTATAATGAAGATGCAGAGATTGTCAGAGATAATGAGCAGGTAAGAGCTACCGATCAAATCTCTAAAGGTACCCCAGAAATTAGTTACACTGTTGTTGTGTGACCTGTATGTGCATAAAATGGTTTCAAAGTTTTTTACGTTAATGCATTCTCTGCATTAACTCCTTCACGCCGAGCGTATACAAATATGCGGCCTCTCGGCGTCTGGGCCTTGACGCAGAGCGGCCGTATATTTGCTTACCATTTGTAAACAAACGCGCTGAGAGCGCGCTTCCAGCACGTCTCGGTGTCCCACGGAAAGGTCACGATCTCTTCTTGCGATTGGGACCTTTCCAATCATGTGAGCGCCATGACAGCCAATCACGCCGGTCACATGACCCTAAACTCCGCCTCCTGGCATCAAAATCCCCTTAAAGGGCCGAGTGGCGCCGGCGCGAAGGGGTTAAGGTAAAAACTCTTCTGTGTCTAGGATCCCCTCTTTATACCTACCTGAGCCTGATCTCAATCCAGCGATATGCAGAAGAGCAGCGGTTTCCGGATCTGTCCCTCAAGAGGCAGCGAGAGCCATTGGCTCCTGTTGCTGTCAATTAAATCTTGACGAGGGAGCAGATGTGTATGGACACATTTTATTAGCCCTCCTGTGTTAACCCCTGTTGCATCTTTAAAAGGTCCAGGGCTTGTCACACAAAAAGTCTTTTGAGAAATCAGGCACTACCAGGATTTAGTAGGATAGATGTTGGCACAGCCCCAACGCGAGTGCTAGGCAGGCCTTTCAAGCATCTGCATTCCACTCAACCATGAAGAAATGCACAAATCTGCTTTTTGGTTAATGGGGAGGTACCAGGACTGTATATGTTCTATCTTTTTGAGTTGGGGCTTCACCATCCCTCTTCCCATTATGTATCCATGGTAACTTGCTTCCTGCATGCCAGCAGCACACTTTTGGTGGTTGATAGAATTCTCATGGAGTCTAACACTGCCTGGACTTTGGACATACGGGATTCCCAGTCCCTGTTGAAAATGACAATGTCATCCAGATTGAAGTGTATTCCTGATGGGGGCAAAATGTCCGATCCATCGCCTGTTGGAATATGGAGGGATTGGTCTGAATGTCCAATGCCACTTCTTCTTCTTTTTTTTTTTTTTTTTTTTTGTTACTGGAAGTGCCCGTCTAGTGTGAGAAAGTTGTTTGTTGCTGGGCAATCAGGGTATCATCCAACAACCATTTATAAGGTCCAAAGTGGTGATGTGTCAGGCTGGTCCAGGTCTTTCACTGAGCTCATATACCCAGGGCGTGGGGTAGGCATCAAATTTTGGCACCTCCATTGAGGTTCCCATAAGCATAGCAGAAGTTCATTGGGTTTTGGGACTTTACAGTCTGGTTTGTCACTCACTCTGAGGTTCCTAAATTATTCCCAGTGCCATTTTCTTCAGCTCATCCAAGATAGCCTTCCTCTGAGCCTCTGGGATGCGGTAAGGCATGACTTAATCTTAAAACTAGGCTCAGGTATTATCTTATGCTTAACAATATTTATGAGGCCTGTTCAGAAGAAAACATCTCCTTGTTCCTCTGCAAAAATTAATTTGCTTCTTATATATGGGCTTTGAACAAAGTACTGGCTATTTGAACTGTCTACACCAACCTGTGGCTCCAGTCTTGCACTTGCCAAGGCAGTTGCCCATTTCCTGTGTTTTTTTTTATTTCAATGTTTTTATTGAAAATTAACATGCAAATGGTTAATTTATGCAGCCAGAGGCCCTTGATGGCCATGCCAAATAGAGCTTGCAACACAGGTGAGACACAGAGATGAAATGAAAGTAGTATACATTAACAACATTTAAAATATGTGTAGCACATCCAAATATCCCAATCCACCCTCAAAAGGGAAGTACTAGAAAAAAATCAAAAACAGGAACAAAGGGATTCAAATGTTGACTCTGCGGGAGCAGTCCAAATGAACCAGAGACTGAGATCAGCTCCACTTTGTATCAGGCACAAGAAGAATAGGGTACTACAGTTTTGCCTTTTAAGTCATATTATGACATCAATCCATCAAAGTGCGAACTGAGGAAAGAAGAGTAGAAGAGAGGAAAAGGGAGTAAAAGAAGGAAAGCAAAGAGAGACATAATCCACCCCACGTGACAGGCCCATCCATCCCAGCAAAGAGAGAGGATTTGTCATTAAGATGTAGTCTGTAGGTAACTTATCCATGGGTTCCAGACTCTTTCAAACCTGGTAGAGGTATCCTGTAGGATGCTGACCATTTTCTCAATGATCATGATCCATGAGAGTTTTCCAGGCAGTTGGAATTGCAATTTTGTCTACCAGGATCATAAAATGGATTGGGGTATGTGTAGATCTGGAGACTCCAGCTTATGGGTTCATTAGGCAGCACAGTTCTGGGGTTTTTTATGACACTGTGAAGATCAGGGAATGAACTTGTATCAAGCACCTTCTAACTTTAGGGAATTTCCACCAAACGTGGAACATTGTTCCCACTTGCCCACACACCTGAAAACAAAGCAATGAGGAGCCAGGGTACATTCTCGACAATCGGTATGGGACTAAATGCCAAAGAGAGAGGACCTTATAGCCTGCCTCTACAAGGGAGACATTCATAATGCCTTTAAGTATTCAAAGAGTCCAGTCCTCCTCACCCATGTCCCTTTTCTAGGCCATTTTTTATGGAAGTTTGCTTGAAGTGGTGACAATTTATACAGACTCGAGATGCCCCACTTCTAAACTTCTCCACGGAAACATCTGCTTTCAAAAGCTGTTTGTGTGGTAATGTCAACGGTGTTCTGCGTTTTTCCAATCTTTGAACAAATTTAATGTGGTAGACCTTATAAGGTTTCTTTTTGCCTGTATGATGACTCTTAATACACATACTGTACTTTAGCCACAATCTCAGATGGACCTTGCCACCTGGCCTGAAACTTGCTCTCTGTGATTGGGACCACCTGATTCCCGACCTGAGAGTCTTATTTTAGCTGATCTGTTGTAAACTCATTGTTGTGGTTCCTGAACATGCTCCCTGACCAGTGGCATCACATGTGCAATCCACTCTTGAATCTGAGAGACATATTCTAGAACACTCTAAGGGGTGGGCTCACATTCTCATTATTCCTTCACCAGGTCAAGCAGCCTCCGGGTTCTCTGTCCATGTACCAGCTCAAAAGGTTGAATACCCTGTGTAGGCTTGAAGTACCTCACAAATAAGAGTGCGGTCCCAGTCTTTCCCATCTTTTTGCACCACACACTGAAAGGGGTTACTAAACCCCCAACACTAAAAATTGGTCTGTATATGCAGTAAAGCATGCTTGTTATACTCCAAAGACAAACAAATGAAACCAGCGCTCAAATCCTCATGCAGACAAAAGACAATTCTGAATGCCAAACGAAGAGATGCTGCCCGTCAAAGATCAGGGAATCTGGACACTGGTGAACAAAAGCAGACAAGGGCGCACTCTCATCATGCATCGTGGTACACCACGTATTTAATGTGTAGACAAATAGATGTATACTCACAAACCAAAGGAAATTAAAAGCAAATAATGTAGTCCGCAAAGACAGTCAATGCTGTGCCCTTGATAGGGATAAGGGCACAGCATTATTGACTGTCTTTGTGTACTACATTATTTGCTTTTAATTTCCTTTGGTTTGTGAGTATACATCTATTTGTCTACACATTAAATACGTGGTGTACCATGGTAATGCACAATGAGAGTGTGCCCTTGTCTGCCCATGCTTGTTATACTCACTGTGGAACCCAAGGGGTTAATCCTCTGCATTTTGGAAAATGATGCTTGATCCGGTCTTCTCTGATCCTCCTTTTCTTCCACATTCCCCATTTCATCTCCTGATAGAACACAGCCTGGTGGATACTGCATGTTCTCAGTTTGGTGTGTACTGCTAGAGAGTTTTTTCTTCTTCTTGGGGGAGTGTATGTGATCAGCACAGGGCCAATCGGCACTACCCAGACAGAGGGTCAGGGGTTATGCAATCTTATAGGGCAGTGAGAGGAGAATGAAAACTCCTCCTACAAGCTTTAACCAGTGCTCAACTGGACACTGATAGAAGTCACAAGACTGCTCTAGCTGCTGATGAGAAAAGGTATTTAGCAGTTTATATTTACTAAAACAATTGTACTTCCATGTTCTGTGTACTGTAGGAGACCAGATATAGTGAATGCAGGGTCCTGGGTTTAGTAGCTCTTTAAGCATAGTTTTTAGGGTTTTATTAAAGCATTTGACTAGGCCATCCATCTGTGCAAGGTAGATGTATGCAGCTGTTAAGCCTGAAACAGCTTGCACACATCTGCAGTAACTTTCAAAATCAACAGCATAGTCTGAGCGATGAAAATTTCTATGAGAAAACCTGTTCTAGTTAACATAGGGAGGAGTTCCCTGGCATCCGTTTTGGATGAGGTGTTCTACTGAAGTATAGCTTTAGGGTACTGTGTGGTATAGTCGAGGATCACTGATATGAAATTGTAACCTTGAGCATATTTCACCAGTGGGTTTACCAAATCAACTGCTATCCATTCAAGTGGAACCTCAGTTATTGGCAGGGGCTGCAGAATTGCAATGCTAGAGCAGTTAACAGACAGGTGAGACTACAAGTACAATATTTTTTTTACTTCAACTTTCAATCTTGATCAGTAGTACAGATTGGTGAAATTACTACAAAATAAGGCCATCTCTCATCTGCACCCAGCTTCTGGATTACCTCATTCACAACTATTATCTTCCCTTTTGCCTGAGCTCTTGCATCTGAGCCGTGCCAAAAATCCAGAGTGCAACATCCAAATTAGGGAGGGCAGGGCTAGAGGTTGTTTCCTTAGTGTTTTTCCCAAGCATGACCTTTAATGCACAAAATTCTGATTCCCTCAGAGAGCTGCTCAGCTTCAGGACTTTGCTACTGTGCACTGGTGACTTTCTTATTTAGGGCTATGTAACCAGACCCATCATCATATTCCTACAGCACACAAATCACCATCATCTGGCATATCAATAACAATATCGTCTGAGGGTCAACAGTCTGTTTACCAGTCCAACCTCATGTTTGACAGTTATACAGATAATGGTAATTGATGAAGACACTATTATGTAGGACCTTGTATCTCCATGAATGTAGATGACCTATAGGGGTTCAGATGAAAACTGGAGAGTGCAAAATCTGGTGCAAGCTGAAGCTAGAAGCTGATTGGCTACCTTGCACAGCTGTACCAGATTTTGCACTCTGCAGTTTTAGTAAATCAACCCCATAGTGTCTTGGTCGTAGAGTTTTGGGTCAGCATGGTACACCCATTGCTGCAGGTCAAGTGGCAGAGATTGAAGATGCTAATCCATCACAACACCCTCCTCTGTTTGTTTGAGATTCCCTTAAAGTCTGCAGCCACTTGTTGACCAGATCATGCATCTGTGACTGATCAGTAGGTCCAACCATTCCAAATGTCCCTACGCCCTCAGTTTGTGTCCGCTTTCTGCAAGAAATGTCCCATTCTAGAGGTTACCTGTTTGCCAGGGCCAACAATCGCTGACTCATGACTTTGAGAGAGTGACTGCACTGCTTCAGTCAAGAACCTTACTTGTACTGCTGTCATTTCTTTCAAGGCAGTTATATGGACCTCTGTATCTCTTTGTTGTGCGTTTGTTTTCTGGAGTGCATATTTGTTTGATGTTGGGGAGCATTAGCCTTCAGCTGTTTTACTATTTCCTTCATTTCTGACTTCAAAAGAGGATGCCGTCCCTTAAAGGTCAGTTTTTTTTAAAAAAAAAGCCTTTACCCGCATCCTCTACTAGTTGTGATTTGTAGGGGACAGCAAGATTGAACAACCAATATAGGAATACCTCGGTGGGAGGCAGACTGTTTTGAGAGAGCTACCTGTTCACTGTCTGATTGTTGGTATGCACACGCTGCTGGGTAACAATATGGAGGTGATGGTGCTGTGCATTGGACACATGTGGCTTCACATGTGACTTATTGGCATCCATAGACATTAAGAATGCTTACTTGAACATATCCGTCTGTGTAAGGCACCAGTGTTGGGCATTTCGTTAAAGGGGATAATCGCTTCCAGTTTGTAACGCTAATGTTTGTACACCTGGGTCTTTATCAAGGGGCTAGCACCGGCCCTGACATTGCTGAGACAGTGGGGGATCTCCTTCGTGGGTTACTTAGACCCAGCCTCTTTCAACCAGGGTGCCCTGACCTCATAAGCTGAGTGAGAGAGAACTTGAGGGAGAAACATTGGAATTCTGGTCAGTACTATTGTGCAAAGGTATATTTTTGCTTTGGAAGAATAAATCACCTCTAGCGTTGGGTGTACTACGTGTGTGGATGTTGCTGCATTACGTAAACCTATAGACACGTTTCTACATTTTAGAATGGGGTGTATTTAGATTGTGCAGAATGTTAAAGGGTGCCTTGAATTAAAAAAGTTTGAGAAACACTGACTTAGACAGTCATCTTCTCTTGGTGTCCCTCTATTCTTCCCTGATGGACAATCTGGAAATTACAATCTGGCCTCTGGAGCTCGGCTGGAAATCCCTGGTAATCATCATAACTAGTTTTCCCATTGAAACATTTCCCCTATGCTCTTGCTTTGATGACCACTCAGACTTTGGTATTTTCTTTAATTTTCCTTGATGTTGAATCTGTAGGACAAAAAGAGAGGTTGAATCTCCTTAACAGGTACACAGCAAAAAAAAACGCAACAGGTGTTCTAACCTATTTCCACTGTATCTAAAACCAAAAAAATTTGCCTTTAGTAATACTTTAACTCATTGAGACCACGTCTGCTGATCGCTGAATTTTGGGGCTAGTGATGACATGGATCCACTTGTAGCCACCCTGACTACACTGTGGCAATCACAAATCTTAAGACACCACAAAGTTGCTGATCGACTGAACGCTAAAGCACCAGCAATTCTTTGATAGTTATACACTTATTGAAATGCTTTCCATTTTTTTCCATAATTTTAAAAAAATAAAATCTGTTTGTTTTGTAGTATTACCTATGGGAACTTAGAGTACTAATATTTACACCCTAAACACAAGAGCCTTGTTTGTTCTTTGCTTTTGGAAAACGTTTACCAGACTGCCAAGTTACAAGCTTTCTAAAGTCTGCCACCTTGGTTGAAGAGTGCTCTGAATGCTTCAAGAAAGCTGTTTGAAGCTTGTAAAATGCTTTGTATTAAAAGGACAAAATTTAAAGCAATTCCTTTGTGTTTGCAGGTACACTATACATTATATTTGTGCGTTCTTGGAATACTATATATATAGTACCATATTTGACCGCTTTTATTTAGTCATTTGAATTTCCAAAAAATTTCAAAAGGGCATTACTTATTTGTTTTAATGAAACATCTTTCTTTATTGACAGGCTCTCTATGAATTGGTTAAATGTAGATTTCACACAGAAGAAGCTCTCCGAAGACTCCAATTTAATGTCAAGGTAGTACAAGGTAAGATCTTAGTGATGAGGTAAATAAAAGAATAATATAAAGGTTTCTTTTTTTTTCTAGCCTGAGACTTCTCATGTATGCTAAATATTTGTATGAAGAGTTCCTATGTTGAAAGCATAGAAATCAATCCTGAAATTTGTTTTTTTCATATGATTAGGTCAGCTGTGTGCTTGGAGTGAAGATGAATGTAGAAGTTTTGAGCAAGGATTCCGGATTTATGGGAAAAACTTTCATCTCATCCAGGCTAACAAGGTGAGAGGTTTGAAATATTATTACAAATATGTACAATATTTATGCTTGTCTCAGTGGAGGGTACCTTAAAGTTACGGTATTTGTTTTTATATGTTAGGAATTCTAAGTGTTTTGAAGTTTATAGCACCCAAATGCTGTAATCCTGTTATGTGCTAATTTTACATGAACATGTGCTCTCAGTCTGAGAGCAGCATCTCTAAGGGTCCATGCACACTGGCTTAAACAAATGCTGCTCCTAGAGGAGTTTAGTGTTTTGCCTGCAGAAACAAATAATGTTATCTTATGTGTCCATGCACATTAGGTTGGTTAGAGGCATATTTTAAGTTCAGCATTTAGAGGAGGAAAAAAAACGTTTCTGTTTTGCATTTTTGAGACCGGTTTTCTGGCAGAAAAAATGCTAAATGCTAGTACAATAAAATGCTTAAAAGTAGGCTCCTATTGAAGATTTAAATTCCCCTGCTGTAGAAGCCAATGTCCCATTTCTGTAAGAAGAACCTTTGGGTAGTCCCTTTCACAATTAAGGGGTGCCCCCACCCTTAGGGGGGTTTCAAGGAGAGTTAAGGGGGCAGCTACCAATCTTTGCTGCAGTCTGAACTCAGGGAGACAGACAATAGTCTGCAGCATGATTTCCAGACTTTCCCCTTTCACATTTTATTTACTTAATGGTATTTTAGGAGCTGCAAAAAGAGCTGTTTTCTTTGCAGCTGTGAAAGGTTTCTGTCCCAGGGGGTCATTGCTCCTTTACCGGAAAGGGAAGAGGTTTCACGGCTTCTCTTTCAGCTGTCTGGCATATTCTGAACACTCAAGATCTTAAGGCCTCATGCACATTGGACATAACTCTCCTAGAAGCCTTCTTCCTAGCAGCAGCATTTTGACAAAAAAAAAATGGCTTACGCATTTAAAAGTGTGTGATGCATTTAGCTACATCAAGCGTTTGATCATTAAATAATTTAATTGTTCAGAATAAATAATTTATTCTGACCATTGAAATTAATTAATGCTTAAGTGCTAAATGTATATACGTATGTCAGTCAGCAAGCGGTTAATGCTATGACTTGTTGGGGAGGGGGCCCTGATGAATTAAGTAGGCATTGCTTTTTAGTGCAAGGTTCCATGAAATACCCAAAAATCCATCAGAAATGCTCCATGTTACTTAGACACTAGTTAAGACCTACTTTTTTAAATTGGGCATTGGGGTATCTGTACTGTATTTTTAGTAGAGGGAATATCATGATTTTAATATATTGTGTAAAAAATATTTTAAAATGTTAGCAAAACCAGAGGCTAGAGTCAATTCACATAAGGCATGCACACACTGTATGGCTACAGAAGTGTCTAAGTGAAAGCGTAATTTAAAGTGGTATTGAACCCAAAATAAAATAAGTGTATTATATCGCAGCTTACCAATTCTTAGATGTAGTGGCACATTCATTTTTTTTTTCTCTATATTTTCACCCATTGATCTGGCTAGTAAGTTGTTTTGTTTGTTTGTTTTTTTTTAACTACCTTTAACAGACCTAGTTGTTCAGCAAAAGTGGCAGTTAGAGGGTTGAGACTGATCATTTAACACTGATAGGAGTGCCGACAATGATCAGCTTTAATTCATTTATGTAAAACCCTTATCCAAAAAGGAAAAGAAGAATGTTGCTGCAACTACCTGAATTATGTTAGAGTATTTTGGCTTAAGTAGTCAAGTCCATCTTAATATGCTAGTGCATCTAACACTACCCTCTCCCCAGACTGGCAATGCTACTGTCCATAGGTGTCTTTGTTGTTCTTCCATCCAGAGTGCAGACACTGTAAGGGCAGTTCACACCAGAACGTGGTGCAGGAAACCTGCGTTTCTTGCACGTTTCTTTCACCGTGCTCAAAACGCAATCTGTAGCCGGCGTCAGTGTTAACATAAAGACCCCCCAAACACAGGTCACAAATGCAGTTTGCTTGCACCAGATTGCGTAGTAGAGTAGTACCTTGTGATCCAGCTGCTGTGCATTTTACAAAAGTAGCACATGCACCGGGTGAAAATAAAGGGAGAAAAATGCCTAAGAAAAAATAAAAGCTAATGCAGCCACCAAAATAATACTGCTCCAAGACATTGCTATCACTGTTTTTCTAGTAACATTTCTGGCAAGATGTGAAGTCTCCTTTTTATTTTCTCTAAGGTGCGCACACGGTCAGTAGGTGAGTGTGTCCAATTTTACTACAGTTGGAAGAAGTCTGAGCGTTATGATCATTTTACCCAGAGTCGAATGGGGAGGAGAAAGCAGCTGATAAATTCAGCATCCTTGTAAGTATTAGTGCAGTGAGAAATCTTGTTCTGTAAAATGACTTCCTTACAAACAAACCTGTTCATACCAGAAAAAAAAATCACTGGGCAACTCTTATTTTTGAAACTTTTGATCCTTCAGCAGGTGTAGATTGTCCTCAGGAAACTGATAGTAATTCCAAAAGGTTTTTTGCAAAAATAAAACCTAGGGGTCTGTTTATGCAAACATTTGCATAGCTATTTATCCAGCAAAACTGCATAGAGCAGTGGGTTAAATTGATATTAAACTCAAACGCAAACATTTATTAAATTACAGCTTACCAATTCTATGTGATGGCTGCATTAGTTTTCTTTTTAAGGGCGCATGCACACAGGGCTTAAAAAAACGCATTTACAGACATTTGGCTTTTTTCTTTCTTTTTTTTCTCCAGCCTACAAGCTCATCTCTGTTAGCCTATGTGTCCATGCACACGTTTACAGTCAAATTAGAAGAGGAATGTTTGCATGCAGAAAAAAAAAAAAAACATCTCTAGCACATTCAGGAGAGGCGCTTTCAAGCACAAAAAACACTTGACGTGCGTAAACGCGCTTACATGCACTTAACGTACTTAAATGCTAGACTGTAGTGAAAGAAAATCAAACGCCCTGTGCATGAAGTCTGTTTTTGAACAGAACAATCTGTTCTACTGATGTAGCAGTGAGAAGGTTGAGGGAAACTATTTAACAATGACGGGGTGCTTGTTAACTGCAGTGGTCAACTTTTATTCATCTATGTAAAGTCGTTATCCCAAAAGAAAAAAAAAAACTGTTGCTGTAATTGCTTATAAAGTGTTGGCTGGAGTTTGGCTTCAATTTGTTAGTGCATCTAACATTACCCTTCTCCTAGACTGACAATGCTACTGTCTAAAGGTGTCTCTGTTGCTCCTTTTATCCAGCTTGTAGGCATTCTAATACAGGATATGTGTTACTGGTCAGATTTCAAAGTAAATACAGAGGAAAAATGTCTTAAAAAAAAAAAAACCAAAAAAACAAAAAAGAAATGCAGCCACTACATTAATGAGTTGGTAAGCTGCTATATGTTCTTTGGTCTGCTGTTTAATACTGCTTTAAACTATTGGATTCCTTATTACAAATATCAAGTTAAATGCAACCATGTTGCCTTTTCACTAGCAACAGCTGTTCTCTAAATAGACCCCTTAGTGTTACTGCAGGAAAATGTAAGCCTATACATAGCCATAAAGAACTGGAATTTTGCACCCTTGCGCATATTGTTAGAAAACTGGAACTTGTAATTTTCTTCTATACATACCAGTAACCTTTATATACAAATTTACACTAGAGCCATTTTGTGTCATATTTTTTTTTTTCTTATGAATTACACTATTGTGTGAGTTAATGGGAAATATTTTTCTTCCATTGCTCAGAGAGTATGAAAGTGATGTGCCAATTTCAAAGTGTCAGTATGGACTGCGTGGATCTGTATTAAACAAAGGAGTTGGAGGTAGGTATATTTCTGAAACACTGAATTTCGATGTAAGTAAGGAGACCACTTTTTTTTTTAATTTTTATTTTGAAAAAGAATTCAGAGTTCACAATCATAATGCAGGTGTTACAAGAATACACATAGCTACAGAAGTTTGTATACAAAACTATACTGATAAAGCCTGAGGTGGAATATGCAGTGGGGAGAACAATGCAGTTATGGCAAAATATATTGTTCAAATACCACTTAGATCGGCGATGGATTGGATATATGACCGTATAACCAGCAAATAACTGAGTTCTCCCGAGCATATAAGAGAATGATGAGGAGACCACTTTGAATGCAAACATTTAAGGCAAAGATAAGTGTAAACTGGAGGTTTTACTCCCCCGTTTGCTGGAATGCAATATCTTTTTGATTGGTATAGCTTCAGCACTTCCTAATAGTGTTAAAGCTTGCCAACCCTTTCCTTCTTCTGGCACAGTTTTAGTGGCCGGTGAGGCAGCCCATCATAGTGATGGGTTAATAGGAATGTATGGACGGAGAGGAGGGGCAGGAGGAAATGGGCAAGCTTTATAGTAAAGTAGCATTTTCCAAGCATTGTAACCTCCATATATTAAGTCTAACTGTATTGTGGGGAAGGCAGCTAGCAAACATACAGGTCAATACACAAACCTTAACAACAAAATAAAAATGAGCAGCGCCACAAAAAGTAAAAATAATCAGCATGTAAAAAAAGTGTCATTCTCAATAGCTGAATAAGCGAACAATGACCATTTATCAAATGTCCAATCAACAGCTTATCCTGCAGAAAAAGTTCATAAAGAAAAAGATGTGTATCCACCACAGTGTCCAATCAATGACTGAATTCTCTAGTGTCCACACCACACCCTCTAGTGAATTGCAAACTCAATGGAAATGTTTGCTGTAAATAATACAGCACAGCCAGCTTAAATCATAAAGCCCAGATTGTTTGCTCCTTCTCTGTCATCACAGATTTAAACCAAAGACATCACTTCTTTAGGCCTCCAGATAACAGCAGAGAAAATGGCAAACCTACACAGCATTGTATCCAAAGAAGCCCACCACACAAGCAAATAAAATAGAGCCATAGTGTAGTATTTGATGATTAAGCAGGTACATATGAAAACATCGAATATTTAAAAAGCAAAGTACCAAAGTTGCATACAGAGCTGCTGCTCAGCATCCGGAAGCAGCAAAGTGACGTCAGCGCTAAGACTCCGCCCTACAAGTTTCATCCAATTCAGGCATTTTCGGTTGGTTGAAGACATTCTATTAGATGAAATGCATACGGAAGAGTATGGCTCTATTTTATTTGCTCGTGTGGTGAGCCTTTTTTTGATACAGTGCTGTGCTTGTTTGCCATTTTGCCTGTTGTTAACTAGAGGCATAAAGAAGTGGTATCTTTGGTTTGAATCTGTGATGACAGGGAAGGAGCAAATAATCTGGGCTTTTTTATTTAACAGCTTCAGATATGGAAGGTTTTACCCCCTTCATGACCAGGCCATTTTTTTTTTTTTTGCTTTTTGGCTTTGCGCTACCTTAACTGTTGTGTGGTCATGCAATGCTGTACCCAAATTAAATTTGTATCATTTTTTTTCATACAAATGGATCTTTCTTTTTTTGGTATTTGATCACCACTGTTTTTTTTTTTATTTTTTTATCATACAAAGACATTTTGAAAAAATATTTTATACTTTCAATGTAAAACACATCCAGTAAAAATGTAAAAGAAATCACATTTCTTTATAAATTTTGGCTAAAATGTATTCTGCTACATGGTTTTGGTAAAAAAAAAAAAAAAAAAAAATTCCAATAAGTGTATATTGATTGGTTTTTTATGAAAGTTATAGCATCCACAAACTATGGTATACATACTGGAATTTCTATTTTTTTTTTTTTTTTTTTATACTATTAATGGCGCTGATCAGCGACTTATGATGGGACTGTGAGTGCGGTGGGCAATCTGACACTAATTGACACTGGGTGGGAACTAACTGCTATTGAGTTCACCAGTGACATTAATACAGTGATCCATGATAACTACACGCTGTCACTGTACTATTGACAATGGCTGGGAAGGGGCTAACATCTCGGGTAATCAAGGGATTAAATGTGTGCCTAGCAATGTGTGTATTATGTGCTACTTTTTACTTTACAGAGCCCTGTGTTGACTGTTAATACAGGGCTCTGGGCTGTGGTTGGATACCGCCAATCAGCAGGTCCTGGCCATGATTCATTGGCTGGGACCTGCTGACTAACTCTCGCTGTGTACAATCACAGCGGTAGTTGGCGGGCAGAGGTGCGCACACACCCTGTACCCGGAAGAGGCTATCGACGCACAGGAACGTTGCCGTGCTTCTACGGGCCGCCCATCCACCGTACATTGCAGGTGGGTGGTCTGTAAGCAGTTATGCTGACTGTTCTGTATTATTTACAGCAAATATTTCCACTGAGTTTGCAATTCACTAGAGAGTGTGATGTGGACTTCTTAGAGGATTCAGTCATCATTTGGATACAGTGGTGGATGGACATCTTTTTCTTTATTATGAACTTTTTGTCTGCACAATATTGCGCTGATTGGACATTTTATGACATATTTTTTTACATGCTGATTGTATTATTACTTTTTGTGGCGTTGCACATATTTCTTTTTATAACCTCCTTATATCTTCTCTTCAGATTTTCTTTTTTACATATGTAAAATGAAAACAAATGTACTATTTGCTTTTGACAGTACTGTTAAAATAAAAGAAAATGTTCCATGTAGTTTTTAGTCTTGTAACAAGACATAAGGCCTCAAACATTGCCGTGCTTCCAGGAGTTCCAGTAATCAAAAAGCCATTCCATAGAATGACAGTCTGTCTGATAGTAAACCCTCCTTTTATACTCAAACTGTCTTGGCCATCATTTGTTCTCTAAGATTCAGCAATGACACTTTTGCAGCTCACTAACAAAAAAAGAAGCACCAAATGCACTCATAAGTGCACCAGTGATGAGAGCAATACATGGGCTGGCATTGCTGGACTCTGCTTCTGCAAATGTTAGTTGCTTGGCTGTTTTGATGCTTTAGCTTCAACATGTCTTAGCCACTGACTCAGAGTATAAAGATAAAAATATCTGACTATCGCTTGCTACTTTTTGGCCTCTAGCTCTATTTCTATATTTAGGCCAGAAGTAAGCAGGTAACTAGCAATTTCAAACACAGGGAAACTAGGGTTGCACCAATATTGATACCGGTATTGATGCAGATACTAAGCATTTACACGAATACTCGTACAAATGCTCCGATACAAAACCGCACCCGCAGGGAAACCGCATGTGATTCGGGCAGGAATTGCACTGCATTTTCGTTCAGATCACATGAAATTCTTTGCAGTGTGATTTGAGCCCATTCATTTTGTATGGGCTGAAATCGCACCAGAGAGGTATCGGTACTCTGTGTTGGCGAGTACTTGACCAAAAGTATCAGTACTCGACAGTAAAAAAAGGGTATTGGTGCAACCCTAAGGGAAACAGTAATAGCCAGTATTTTTACAAGCTGTCAGATCACTTTAACTGCCAATTTTCAATCAACTATGTCTAATTTAACCTATCAAATTTCTGCCATTTTTTTTTTTTTTTTTTTAAAGCATTTTGTTTATTTTATTTTTACCAACTTGTTATTTGTTCCTCAAACTTATTTAAAGTTGAAGTAAACTCGTTTTGAATCTTTTATCTTCAGGTAAGCCTTCAATAAAGCTTACCTGTAGGTACTATAAATATATTCTAAACGTGCACCGTTTAGGAGATATTTACTGTAGAAACGCCAGTGATGTCACCAGCGGATGTGCACTGTGCTCTCAATGAACAGTGTGCTGTCCATCGAAGGAGCCATGCTGCTGCCAAAATTGCAGCTCAGCCAATCAGATGGCTGCAGTTTGCGAACCTGGAAGGAAGACCGAGTGAAGATGGGAGCCATGACAGCGATCTGTTGGAGGGCTTTGTTTTCAGGTAATGCTTTCATAATGTGCTAGTATGCGATGCATATTAGCACTCTTAACTTGCAGGGAGATTTTTTTTTTTTTTTCGGTTCACCATAGTTATAGTGGAAATCGGGCAAAAGGGAGCCATGGCAAAAACTCAGGTGAACATTCGCTCTGCCAAAGGCCTGCACAACACTCAGCCTTAGAGTGACAATGCTTCCTCTGCATCAGAGGAGGACCAGATCTTAACACTTGTCTTTGTACCCAGCACCAAGCCTCTTCCCCAGAATCCCCCTCTACCTGAGTCAGATCCTGATAGGCCAAGCCTAGAAGAGGCAAACACAAAAAAAGGAATGAGAACGACCCAAAGGCAGTATTAAAGGAGGCTACAGAAGATTTCTCAACGCTAGACTCCTAAGCGTGTGAAGTTGTAGCTTCAAGCAGAGTGCTTGCTAATGTAAATATGCTCATTTCTGCTGTGGGCAAAAGCTCTGGCATTGTCACACTTGATTCTCCTCAGTCTCACCTTACCACTTTGGGTACAAAGAGACCTGCTAACTCTAAAAAGACATTCCTTGTTCATGAACAAATAGAATGGGAAATATGACAATTGGTTCACTGCAGAAAAGAGTTTCCCTCCTCCCAAAATCCTTTCCAAGTTCTATCAGTGGAAAAAAAGATCACTAGGAAGTGGTCTGCTTCAGCAGGTAACCCAGCCATCTCAGTCTTAAACGTCTCAAAGATTCTGCATATAAGAAGTTTGAGATGCTCTGAAAGGCTCTGTTTACATTAGAAGGCCCAGTTCCTACAACCAGCTATTGCTGTGATTTCTGTCTGTCAAACTGCAGCTAAAGGAACAACCAACATGATCCTGTATTACAGGCCTGTGCAAAAACTGAACAAATACAGCAAATACTTTGTGATCTGCCCTTTGTGTGCATGTCCTAGAAAAGTAATAACACAAATTTTCAGAATGGTTCTCAACTCCATTCACATGTAGAATCTTTTGACTGAAGCCTAGAAAACTTCTGCAAAGGACACCTCACCCTATGAAAGACATTTTTTTGGGGAGGCACTTTACAAGTGGATAAAATATGTCACAGGAGAAAGTTCTGCTTCCACAGTGACGGATCCCAAAACCTCAGCCCTCAGCCTGTAATTTCCACCTCTTAAAATGTGGAGCACCTAATCGCTCTACCCAGGCTTCAACTTCAGAATCTCAGCCCTTCCCAGAGCTAGATTTAGACCTTGAGGGAGGGGGGATGCGGGGCACTTCAAGTTTGGGGACCCTCAGCATAAAAATTAAATTATATGACAAAGTGAAATGAATGATAAACAGCATTTGTTCTGAAAAAAAAAAATATATGTTTGGTTCGAAGAAGACACTTGTCTGATTTTATTTTTTTCTTAATTTAATTGACTGTAAGAATAGACATTACACAGTTGGAAGTGGCAGTTATGCATCACACTACAATATTTTTTAAATCAAAAGAAACTTTAAACAAATTAAGTTCCACAGTGGAAAAACAAAACAAAGCACATCTGATCGGTATCCTATCATTTCACTGCATAAAACAAGCTAGGAATATACTTCAGTGCCAATCCAGAGTCATACGAGAAGAGTATGAAGGATGACAACAGCACGGCAAAGATTAAACTTGTTTTGTTTCAAAGCAATCTATCCAGTACCAGACCGATGGGAGACAGACCAAGGGTAGCGAACCATCCCTTCCATACCTTTTCAAATTTAGCTGGGCATCCATGGTGTAGATATATGTGACACTCTAAGCGCGTGGTGTCCTACACTGAGTATCCATTGCTCAGGCGTCAGTGGGTGGATAGACTTCCAATTGTGGAGAATACGTTTATGGGCTTGAAACAGGGCTCTAGATATTTCCTCTCTGGTGGGAGCAGATGGAGCAATTTACTGTAGGATGCCAAACACATACGTCTTTGGGTCTAGTTGAACAGCAGTGCCGAAGGCTTATTTAATCGTGGGTCCAGCATCTGTGGAGTTTGGGACATCGCTACAGCATATGTATTAATGTTTCATGATCCTTAATACAGCTGCAACAATAGGGTTTCATGCTAAACCCATTTTGTTCAATTTTGGGTATAGTGTACACATGGTAAAATATATATTTGGGAGAAGTTCTGAGTCATTTAAGAAGCTTAGTTGAACTGCTTGTAGTGCTTCTTCCCAATGATCATCTGTCAAAGGGCTCACATCCATCTGTCATCTCTCCTGTAACTTATATGGTTAATCATCCAAATATGAAATAATAAACATAGCATCACACTACAATATTAAAAAAAATGTATTTTTTCCTACACTGCAAAATCTTTAACTTATCAATCTGTATCATCTTGGAGACACTGCTCTCAGCAGCTGATAGACAGAGAGCACTTTGTCTTAGTCTGGCCTGCATTCCTGTATAATGGCCAGATATATTGCTGGCATTGCCATAGGACTGTCTTCTGCAGTCTTTTTCTAGAACTTCTAGCAGAGATGCAGCCAGTATTTCAGCCTTGTGGGAGCTAGTCTGCAGGAAAGTTAAACAATCTTTCTACCAACTTCCAAGAAATGACATATCACACTGTGATTGCTGTTCCATATCCTGGCACCCACACACACTTTGTTCGCTTTTTTTTTTTTTTTTTTTTTTTTAAGTAATAAAACTAATTTTATAGTTTTTACATTTTTTTTGTAAAGGAATACTGGGGCAGAGGGGTCCCCTTTGGATGGGGGGCACAAGGAAATTGCCTCTTATAAATCTGGCACTGCTGGTACCATTGAAATATTTTGTACCTATGGCCAGTACTGGGCAGGACAATCATATATGCAAGAGAATGCCTTTGTCATTATTACAACACCAGCATCAATCAGGTAATGATGGCACTCAGAAGTTTGATCTCTAAACCCTTGTCGTTGGGCCTATTGGCACAGTTCTGTATGCCTAGTTGTTGCCCACCCTTCTAATTCATTGCTTGGGAATGTCCCCCAAGGTCTGTGAATGCTCCACCTGTGTCTTGTACAGTATGATTAGGATAAGAGGAATTGTATCTTACCTGTAAATTCTATATTTTGGAGTACAGCACAGGACATAGGCCAGCCTCCCTTCCATTGCTTGCTTACTTTGCATTGCGTGCTACAAAACTGAGGACTCTGGGGTTGGGGGTTATAGGGGAGGCACCAAGTGCTCAAAACCTTGCCAGTGTCCATTCACCTTAAGGTACGGGTCTATAACAGAGTCTTTCCATACTCAGTCTGTGCCCTGTACTGTACTCTAAGATGTGGAATTTACAGGAAAGTCAAAATTATTATTAAGGGAAGAATTAGACATGCTGTCAAGATTTTATTGCTGTCTGTGTCCCTCCTGGATAGACTGTCACAAAAACAGAAATTTCCTTTAGATTCATGTTGCGTCGTAAGGACAGGAAATTAAGGAAAATTCCCCCCAGCTAAACAGCAACAATAACTTAATATGGGTTTGATCATTCACTACTTTACAATTTTAAACCAACAAAATGTTTAGGCTTCATATACATTTTAATGACCTGAATTTTTGGACATAATGCATTATTTCCAGGTAAATATTGTAAATATCCGCCTAGCGTATTCATTTTAGAAGTCATTATTTCACTGGTTATGTAAAGTGCTGCACAAACTGTTGGTGCTATATAGATCCTGTATAATATAATAATATTTAACACTTCATTTAAACCACTGCTTCTAAAAATGCAGCTGCCACTATAGTGTCTTAACATGTACCTATTAAATGTTTTCTGGTATTTTTCATAAATGTAGCTGGACCCAAGAAGAGCTCCTCTCAGGACAGTACCTGTACCTGCAATAAAGACCAATTTCCTTGCAGACTTCACACGTCCCCTTGTTCTAACCAGGAGGATCAGCAAGTGTTTGGCCTGCACAATGAATCAATCAGCCCTGACCCACACCAGTCAGAACCACCCTCATTACCTGTTGCAAAAAAGCAAGATCATCCTTTGGAAGAATTAAACATGGCTGACTTACCTCTTCACAGCTTCTTGTCAAGGCAATCATTTTTTTGCACTGGTTCTTATTCTTCCTAAACAATTATTTCTTACCTTCTACTTTAAAGATGCCTTGGACTTGTTCTTTCTAGCAGAAGAAAGCTTTCACCATTCCTTCTGTCTTTATCGGCTGTTGGGTTATAGATGCTCAATTTTATCAACTCAGGAAGACATAACTAACTATACCAGAAAATCTGGAGGCTTTATAATTTGAAGTATTCATTAAACTATTTGCTGAAAATTGCTTGGTTTAAGCAACTTGTAAAGCTGTTTAATTTATTTATAAAGTTTCTTTACTCACATTTAACACTGCTAGCATACAAACATCTTTATATTGCACATAAAATTTGATCTGCTTTATCTGGTCAAACTCACTGGGTGAATCATATTGCCACTGAGAAGTGTTATGCAGTAAGGGCTGTGATAATGTTAACCTATTAAGGCCAGTACAGTAAGTTTTGCTTGAATTTAGCATAAACAAATCCACATTTGCTTGCACTGTCAGGAAAATATAATGTATTAAACACATCTTCCTCTCTAAAGTACAATTGTAGCCTTTTAGAAAAGGCTATGCTGTAAATCAGGTGTGTATCGAAGGTAGGCACTTCTTTCTTTTTTATAATTAAGTTTAAAGTATTTTGGAAGTGTGATATTAAGGCGCACCTCCCTACCAGGTAAACTCTGGTTCCATAATGTTAAGTCTTGCCCCTTTTGTTGTAATAAGGATAGGTTGTGGAAGAGTTTGGTATCACTTGCATAGATCTTCTAAGGTCACATTGAATTCTTCCAACAGCTAATCTGCTACCACACTATGTGCAGAAAGCATGGTGTTATGTTACATCAATAAAACTTTTGTTTGACATACCTCCTTTGATATTTACTTTCAGCTGTATTTTTAAACAACATTTATGTTTACTTGTACATTTTGGAGTTGAATTTTATTTGGTTTTGTAAAACGAACATCAATAAAGGAAAACATGAGTCATTTCTTTGAATTATTTAACTGCTTCCTGACCGCCCTATAGCAGAACTACTGCTACAGGGCGGCAAGGCTGCGCAAAATCACACACACACACACACACTCTCTCTCACTTTTGTATTTCTGGGAAGGGTGCGCGCGCCCTACCTGCTCCTCCATTGGTGGCTTCAGCTGTCGATCACTGGGTCCCGGCCGGAGATTCCCTGCCTGCAATCGTCGAGTATCACTGATGTGAGAGAGGTCTGCATGTAAACAATACAGATCTCTCCCCTGTCAGCTACAGCACGATGCTTTGTATTGCTCTGCATAACCACCGAAAGAAATTTGTGAGGGGAAAAAAAAAGGACATACATTTTTTTTTTTTTTTCTTTTTCTTTTGCACGACTACGCAATTGTCAGTTAAAGTAATGCAGCGCCATATCGCAAATAATGGCCTAGTTAGGGGGGGGGGGGGGGGGGGGGGGGGGGGTAAATTCTCTGGAGGGCAGGTGGTTAACCTCTCCCTCTCCCTACTGTGCTATAGCCGAAAGATGGCTACAGCGTGGTTGTCTAGTTCTGGGAGTACATCCATAGACGTAATTCCAGAACGTGCCCCCAGCAGTGCGTACCAGGACACAGCTGATCACGTGATATGGTAAACTGCCAATTACAGCGGCTTTTTACCATGTGATCAGCTGTGTCCAATGCCACAGCAGCAAACGAGATCCCTGTGCTCAAATCCCAAGAGCTAGTGCATGCATTTATCCATTAGGTGCTAAAGGGGTGTAACCACATATTAACACTAGAAATTCTGAAGGACCCTCTGCACACTGGTATATACCCTTTCAAGCAGACTATGCAATAAATAGGGATATTTAGTTCACACATATTGCAATACATGCTTAAGCTGGCCAACTGCGTCAAAGTAATCCCTCTATGGCCAGTCCTACTCTGCTCTGCCTACGCAAATGCTACTGTGGACACAATGCTAGCATAGGGGAAAAGACACAATGGGGAGAGCTACAAGGTTCAGGTCTGGCTACTGACCCAACAATACAACAAACAAGAGATAGGTCCTTCAGAATTTCTAGTGTTAATATGTGGTTACACCCCTTTAGCACCTGATGGATAAATGCATGCACTAGCTGTTGGGATTTGAGCACAGGGATCTCTTGTTTGTTGTATTGTTGGGTCAGTAGCCAGACCTGAACCTTGTAGCTCTCCCCATTGTGTCTTTTCCCCTATGCTAGCATTGTGTCCACAGTAGCATTTGCGTAGGCAGAGCAGAGTAGGACTGGCCATAGAGGGATTACTTTGACGCAGTTGGCCAGCTTAAGCATGTATTGCAATATGTGTGAACCAAATATCCCTATTTAATACATAGTCTGCTTGAAAAGGTATATACCAGTGTGCAGAGGGTCCTTCAGAATTTCCAATGCCACAGCAGATCACTGGGTAAATACAGTTGCCGGTTATCGGCTGCAATTTCCTCATGCTGTCACAGTGTGAGGAAAGTACTGCCGATAACCAGCAATTGTCAGAGAAGTGATCGGTACTGATCATCAGGGCACTGATGATCAGTGCCCTGCAGTGCCACTCACCTGTGCCCGGCAGTGCCTCCCATCAGTTCCGCCTATGAGTGCAGCATCATCAGTGCCAGCTCATCAATGCCGCCTATCCGTGCCACCTGATCAGTGACCATCAGTGCAGCCTTATCAATGCACATCAGTGAAGGAGAAATATTACCTGTTTGCAAAATTTTATAATCGAAACAAAAACCTTTTTTTTTTTCACATTTTTGCTTCTTTTTGTTTATGACGCAAAAAAAAAAACACCCGAAATACTACCAAAATAAAGCTTATTTGTGTGATAAAAAAATTATAAAAATTTCATATGGGAACAATGTTGCATGACTGCACAATTGTCATTCAAAGTAGGACAGAGCTGAAAATTGGCCTGAGCAGGAAGTGGGGTATCACTTACATGTACATCATCCAGTCTTCTCTGTGTTGGGGTACCGGGTATCATGTGATTACTATGAGTGGTCATAGCAACCACATGATAACAATGTAAACAAATCTTCATGAATGGATTTCCATTCATTAACAGCTTGCTTACAGTAGTAACCTGTGGTTTACCAACCGCAATCACATGGTAAATGGCTACCTGTACCATGGGATTAGCTGTAGCCATTCACAGATCACAACCATACGCCAGCTGTTCATGAATGTTAACCTAATGGCAGCTAAAACTATTGTTTATACAGTGACCAGCAATTTATAAGCAATAGCACAGTGGCTAAATGGCACATCTGCCTAGCTGTACTAGAGTTGTTGGTTCGAATCCCAACCATGGCACCACCTGCCTGGAGTTTGCATGTTCTCCCTGTGCGGGTTTCCTCTGGGTGCTTCGGTTTCCTCCCTCCAAAGACATGCTGGTAGAGTAATTGGATCCTTTCTAATTTGGCCCTAGTATGTGTATGTATGAATGTAAGTTAGGGACCTTAGATTGTACGCCCCTTGAGGGTTAGGGATTGATCTGAATGTACAATATATATGTAAAGCGCTGTGTAAATTGATGGCACTATATACAGTTGCAAGAAAAAGTATGTGAACCCCTTGGGATTACGTGGAGTTTTGCATGAATTGGGCATAAAATGTGCTCTGAACATCATCTAAGTCACAACAATAGAAGAACACAGTCTGCTGAACATAATACTACACACAAACATTAGATGTTGCCATGGTTTAATTGCACATAACATGCAAACATTCACAGTGCAGGGAGGAAAAAGTATGTGAGGCCCTAGCTTAATGACTTCTCCCAGAGCTAATTGGAGCCAGGAGTGAGCCAACCTTGACTCCAATCAGTGTGATGATATTGGATGTGTTGCTGACAGCTGTCCTGCCCTTAAAAAACACACACCTATTTTGGGTTTACTGGTTTCAAGAAGCACTGTCGGATGTGAACCATGCCTCGCAGAAAAGAGCTCTCAGAAGACCTACGATCAAGAATTGTTGACTTGCATGAAGCTGGAAAGGGTTACAAGAGTATCTCCAAAAGCCTTGATGTTCATGTGTCCACGGTAAGACAGACTGTCTACAAATGGAGAAAGCTTAGCACTGTTGCTACTCTCCCTAGGCTTGGTCGTCCTGTAAATATGACTCCAAGAGCACAGCGCAGAATGCTGCATGAGGTAAAGAAGAATCCCAGAGTGTCAGCTAAAGACCTACAGAAATCTCTGGCACATGCTAACATTTTTGTTGACACATCTACAATAAGGAAAACAGTAAACAAGAATGGAGTACATGGGAGGACACCACAGAAGAAGCCATTGCTGTCCAAAAAAATATTGCAGCACGTTTGAAGTTTGAAAAAGAGCACCTGGATGTTCCATAGCGCTACTGGCAAAATATACTGTGGACAGATGAAACCAAGATTGAGTTGTTTGGGAAGAACACACAACACTATGTGTGGAGAAAAAAAGGCACAGCACACCAACATCGAAACCTCATCCCCACTGTAAAACATGGCGGAGGGAGCATCATGGTTTGGGGCTGCTTTGCTGCCTCAGGGCCTCGATGGATTGTTGTCATTGGTGGGGAAATTAATTCCAGAGTTTATCAAGACATTTTGCAGGAAAACGTACGACCATCTGTCCGCCAACTGAAGCTCCACAGAGGATGGGTGACGCAACAGGACAATGACCCAAAGCATACAAGTAATTCAACAAAACAATGGCTGCAACAGCACAGAATACATCTGGAGTGGCCCAGTCAGAGTCCTGACCTCAACCCGATTGAAATGCTGTGGCATGACCTTAAGAGAGCGATTCACACCAGACATCCCAAGAATATTGCTACACTGAAACAGTTTTGTGAAGAGAAGTGGTTCAAAATTACTCCAGATCGTTGTGCAGGTCTGATCTGCAACTACAGGAAACTATAGGTTGAGGTTATTGCTGCCAAAGAGGGTCAACCAGTTATTAAGTCCAAAGGTTCACATACTTTTTCCCCTGCACTGTGAATGTTTACATGTTATGTGCAATTAAACCATGGCAACATCTAATGTTTGTGTAGTA